ACTACTACTACTAATACTACTACTCCTGCTGCTGCTGCTGCTGCTGCTGCTGCTGCTGCTCCTGCTCCTGCCCCCTGCTCCTGCTCCTGCTGCTGCTGCTGCTGCTGCTGCTGCTGCTACCTCTACTGCCACCGCCATCGCCACCGCCACTGCCACTGCCACTGCGACTGCTACCACCACCACCACGATCTTGACGTCCACTACGACGACGACCAAAACGACGATAATCTATTGTTATTTCTACCGTTATGGTCGATTGGAGTAGGGCATAGAGTGGCTTCTGACAATGCCTGCAGAAGATGGAGCCACAGAGAGACTGACAGTAATTCTAGAAGCTGCGAGGCCTTGGAGGCAGAGCTGCGCAAGTGGGATTGGGACACCACCACAGCACGCCTGAATGCTGCGGAGGCAACTTGCGTTTTTCCTAGTTTGCGGCTGCTTCCGGGCGGAATGTTTAGGGCATGTGAGTTTGCAAGAGTGGCTTCACAAAATTAAAAGCCTCCTTGTTGCAGCAAGGGTGCCATCCGAATATTGGCATGGGCGCGGCTACACGATCTCAACCAACATCCCTAAAAGAGCAAGGTTGATTGGGATTAGCTTTAGTGCCTATCTTCCAAGCCAAAGGGTCCACGATGATGTCCTGGTGCAGGCCGAGATCACTCGACTTGGGCGTGACAACGGCATCGCAGAAGGCCGACCTCTTTCGGGCCGACGGAAGGAAGATCGCTGAACTAGTAAGAGAAAGTAGGGGCTTTGTTGAACCAAGGCACGAAACAGGGTCCCAAATCAACCTCTCTGAAGCTGAAGATTTCACTGGCTAGTGGAGGTCGCTGCAACCCTCCACTGGGATACTGTCTGAAGCCATGGAAACCTGAAGCGAATTGAGCGGAAGCCTCGCAGCTTGGCTCTTGCTCCAGGTCTGCGGTCAGATGCCCTGGCCCCTAGTGGGGATGTTGTGTTGTTCAGTTCATTGTTCAGGGCTTTGGGTTGTTCTTTGCAACAGCCGCGAGTGTTGGGAACATGGCCGTGGGAAGGTCAGCGACGCTTCGCCTCCTCTCTCTCCGCAACTTTTTGCATGCGAGCTCCCAGAGTTCTACTGTCAGCCTCTGTCTTGATCTTTGTGTCCATCTCTCTATCGTGATCTGCAGACACGGCATACTACAGAGATCAGCAAGAGACTGCACCTTACGACTAGAATTGAGTTACGAATGCACCAGTAACACCAACAGCGGCTTCTTCGCCCCATTTCCTAAACTTCCGTCCAAACTCACATTTACGGAGTGTGCGACACTCCAATCAGCCCTCAACCTCAACCGACAGTGTAAGCTCCACATCAGCCGCGAGTCAAGTGTACCCTAGTTCCTTGCGAGAGACCCTGAGACTTCATTTCTTTCAAGTCGCTGTGAGAGCGTAAGCACCGAAAAACACATACATACCCTAAAAAGTGTAGGGTTTTGGGGTTCACTTACAGAGCCCTGAAAGATCTTACGGCAGCCCAGGTCGAGGTCTTGAAGCGCAAGCCCGGTGCCAAAGCTTCCAGAGTGGGTCATCGGGTCGTATCAACGGCTTCAGAGCTTTAGGGTATTCCACCTCTGAAGGGCTTTTGTGGGTAGGGCTTGTCTGAAGACTGTTCGTTGCGTCCTGATATGGTCTCGACCTTTCGCAAGCATACACAAGCTCGCCCAGCCTAGAGCTTAGCTGCTTGCGACAAACTTGCTAAGCTAAGCACCCACTGAGCTTCTATGGTAAATCTGAGTTTAGATATGTTCAGACTAGAGTCTAGATCTGTCTGGTAGAAGTATGGCTGACTGATCCCATTTTCATTCTTACCTATAGCCCCTATGGCTTCTAGTATCGTGGGTGCTCTTGTTTCCTTCCGAATCCCAGGCTTCGGTAGGCACCTAAAGCTAACCCTCTTCCTGCGAAGACAATCAGCAGCCCGAACCACGAAAATAGCTTCCAAAGGCTCGCCCGCGAACCGACGGCGGCAGAGCGCCTGCCACGGTTGGTAGGCCCGAAACCTTGCTTTTCTTATGATGGTCCTGACAGCTTTTGTTCTTGTGACCGATATGAGTACCGCCTGATGACGCTGCTGCGACAACAACGGTCGCTTCTAAAGGAAATTGCTGCGGTTAAGACCTAGCTCGACGAACCAATACACACGGCCAAAGTCGGCAGCCTGTGCTGGGCGGAGTGTTTCAACTCTGCAGTTGCTGTAGCTATCCTTGCTCAGTCGGTACTGGTACTGCCCCTGGTTCCTTGGGGAAGCTGTCAATCACAACATACTTGCACCGTGCAGTAGTATCACCGGCCTAGCCAGCCTAGTAACAAAACACTCCAGCGCATAAATCACCGTCATTATCAGCAGCAGCACCACCATCACCATCAGCACCATCATCATCATCATCATCATCATCATCGTCATCACCATCACTATTCTCATGCCACTGCCATTGCGGCTAGGATTGTATCATGTTCATCTTCGTCGTCGTCACCATGACCATACTGGTCATCACAAAAACACGAGTACTAGCCACGGTTCATGGTTTGCGGCTTTATGTTTTATCAGCCGGGCCGGAGCTGAGGTGCCTCATAAACTGTGGTTCAAGCTGCTGCGAAGCGCTGGCTGTAACCATGTAACGTTTGTGTTCTGCCGACGATTCCGTTCGCCAGAGAAGCATCAGGGCTGCTCGCATCGGGAATGGCTGCTGGCTGAGCCTTCCCCCTTGCCTTGCAAGCAGCTGACAGGCCGAAGTCTCATTCCAGAGGCCAGCGTTCATGCAGTGTACAGAGTTCGCTGTTGAACGTATGCTTCATTGTGGGGACACGCAAAGAACTGCACCAAAACCTGACAAAAACTCACAAAACCTGACAAAAACCCAACAAACCTGACAAAAACCCCACAAAAGCTGACAAAACCCAACAAAACCTGACAAAAAAAACAAACAAACCCTGACAAAAACCCAACAAACCCTGACAAAAACCCTTGTTTCCACTTCTCGGGTCTGCCCCTTGAGTATGCAAGAGTACCCTCTTTGAAAGGCACGACACGGAAATCAAAGAACAAGGCTATTCGGGTATTGGTTGCCAAAGCTCTTCCAACCGCGAACTCTGGCTCCGTGGGCTTGCGATTTCGGATTGTGGCACCGCTAAACCCCTAAACCCTATAAGCCTAAGCGCCTAAGCCTAAAGGCTAGTGCACCAAGAGGCGCACTGGAGCTGGGCATTCGTGCTTGGAGCTTCGGCAAACCCTTAGCTACAGGATCTGCCAAAACCATAGCTGCAATCATCTTCATAGTCACACTGGTGATAGTACTCCTGCAATTGTTGCTTTACAATATTCCTATTGGTTTTACTAGTAGTGCATCCACGAGCTAAGAATTGCTATGCCTGAGCTCACGCCGTGGTAGCCAGAAGGAAATCCTACAGTTCCATTATGTCACCCTCTGAATTCCAGAAATTTAGGATCCTATCTCCCCCGATGCTCTTCCCATCGACGTGCCTTGCGTGTTCCGGGCTCTCTCCCATGTCGTAGTTGATGTGAAAGGACCTTCGAAACCGAGTCGGCCGGCAACCCAGGGGGCGTGTGTTTTGGGGAATCTCCTGGGTTCTTGCTTTTAACCGAGTATCCAAGTAGTAGATGAGCTACAGTACGAAATCTCATATAATCCTAAAGCTTATCCTCTAGTTCCGCATGATACTGGACAAATAATAGGTCAAAGTATCCGTTTCTAGTAACCCATATTAGTAGCCCTCATACTTATAATACCCTTGCTTAGCAGTTTCGGGTTTGGGAGCCTGCAGCTGCGAAGGCCTCATCTTTAACAGTCTATTATCGTTCATGCGAGATGAAGTCTGATGAGGGTTCCTGTCATCAGGGTTCTGAAGCCTGAGGACTTCTAGTCAAGAACGTCCACGACACCGTGACCCAGCCCCTGGCTGGTGATATTGAGGCCGGCTTGGATGGGGAGCAAAGCAGTTCGGGATGGTCCAGTACAGGCTACAGGCTTGCTCAACTCGGCGAAGCCTGTCAGACGCCAAACCTCAAGCACCTTGTCCTCTTGCCAGGGCACTGTGGCCTCCGACAGCACGGCCCAGGGGCCAAGTTGGGTTGGTTTCGGATAAGGTGACTATGGTTATGCTTTTGGGCTTGGGGCCAATCTTCGGCGTTTTGCAGCACATAGTTTGGCCGACTGCATTTCTAGAATCGAATAAGATGGGTGTCAGCCATCTCATCCCGGCAGTATGGCATACTACCTTTACGTGGCTTCATTTGGAAGTTTCCGAAAATAAGGGGTACCTTTTTTAGGGGTCCTTATAATAAGGGTCCTACTATTTAGGGTACTATTTTAGGGTCCCCTATTTTCGGAAACCCCCATTTGTTTCTACTGTTGGAGCGCTGCCTGCAGGCAGAGACAGTTTAATATTACATGGCAGCTGGGGCCGGTGTAGTTGTCTCATGCAGCAGGCGGAAGAACGGCAAATGTGGTTGCTTGCCGAGGTTTCTGCACCGTCTGCCGAAGCGAGGCCCATGCCAAGACGTGCTAGGGGATGGGCGGGGCAGATTCGAAGAATCAGTCGCTTCTATGATTCTATGCTAATGTTCAGCCTGCCCAAGCGAATTCTCAGCAAAGACTCGGGTTCCGTGCTGGTTGTAAACCTGAAGTCACGATATCCTGCGAAGCCACTTCCAACGACATTTGCCTCTCCCATGTTTCATCCTGAAGGCTCGAGGAGACGTGCAGGAAGGATCCTGAGCCCTGTGCTGACAATCCCAACCCTGAGAGCTGGTGTCATATGCCACAAGGCCCACACGTGTCTCTTAGGCCTACACTGGGCAGTGTCTCCCCATGCAGTGAACACCATGAGCCCCAAAGCGACAAGCCGCCGCAAGGTCAGCGGAGGCCGACATGGAGCAACAGATCGCCCAGCTCCTGCAGCTCCATGGCGGCGACGAAGACATCACCAAGCCAATGGGCTCAGCATGGCAGCGCGATCAATTGCTTCAGTGCCGAGACATTTGTCGAGCATGCTCAAGTCGAGCCCTTTGAAATATTCTGTCATCATTTGCAAAGACCCTGAGCACACCCTCCTGCTTTGGAGAAAATTCCACTTGGCTTGGCTCAGGAACACACAGCTTATCGCCGCCATCCAGGCATCGGGTCCGGTCTGTTTGTTTGTGTGTTTGTTTGTGCGCACGTGCCTCCACTTGTGTCTGCCGAAAGCAAGTTACTTGTAATAACAAAGCAGATGAGTCCCACGTCATTTGTGCATGCCCACAATATCCTATTGCCAAGGGCTGCAAAGACATATGAGACTGAGACCATCAGGCTTCAAAGATGCGTGGGTGTGTCTATAGATATATACATATACAGGTAATCGCAATTGATATGTATGTATGTATGTATGTATGTATGTATGTATGTATGCATGCATGCATGTATGTATGTATGTATGTATGTATGTATGTGTGTGTGTGTGTATGTTCATGTATGTATGTTCATGTATGTATGTTCATGTATGTTAATGTAATGTAGTGTAGTGTAATGTAATGTACTGTAATGTAATGTACTGTAATGTAATGTATGTAGGTATGTAGGTATGCAGGTATGCAGGTATGCAGGTATGCAGTATGTAAGTATGTAGGTATGAATGTATGCATGTATGTATGTATGTATGTATGTATGTATTCATGTATGTACGTATGTATGTATGTATGTATGTATGTATGTATGTATGTATGTATGTATGTATGTATGTAATGTATATATGTATGTTGTGCTATGTAATGTAATGTAACATAGTGCAATGTAGTGTAATGTAATGCAATGTAATGTAAGGTTAGGTTAGGTTAGGTTAGGTTAGTAGGTATACACACATACACAGATACACGCATGTGTTTTGAGTTTAATGAGTCCAGTCTGTCAGTCAGCAAGCAAATAGGCAAGCCTAGGCGAGCAACTACAAAGCTCATTCGGGTGCGGTAATGAGTCGGGTAGCCCGTCAGAAAGTAAGCAAGCGAGTACAGAACATGTACGCCCGTGTGATTGAGTGCATGTGATCCTGCGGTCCGCTTTCAGAGTAGAGTTCCGTGATTTTGGGGAGTGGCTGGACGCCCTTCAGGGGGACCTGGCCAAAGCCCGTATCTACAAGAGGTGGATACTCGTAACCGTGCTCACGCCCTGGCCAGTAGCAACAGCTAACACTGCTACAGAGTCAGACTGGCAGCCATAGCAACAGTTACTTCCACAGAGCGAACCATGACATGAAAAGCCACGTTCTGAAGGCCCTGAGGGAAAAGAACTCAGAGCTCCGCGAGAAGAATGCTGAACTCCTGGCACAGGAGGGTTTCGTCGGAGTCCCAGGACCTCGGGACTTTGAGTTTCGGGTCTTCGGCTTGACTTGTGGAGCTATCCGGTTACAGTCGAAGGTGTAGGATTGAGCCTTCAGGATGTTGGGGCGCAAGGCTGAGGGCCAGACAGCGCAAGTTCTGGGATTCTATAACATATTTGCTTGCAAGGTTAATGCTTTGTTCTCCTCTCTCTCTCTCTCTCTTGCTTGCCCCGGTCATGGCTAAGCTGTCTCAGTGGCACTTTTTCGAACAGGTCCGATCTGTCCAGGCCTCATGAAGCCTCACGGCCAGGTTTAGAGTTCAGCTGCTTCGATTCGAACAGACAGCATGAGTGTCGAACAGCACACATCCGTCAGGTCGCACCAGAGCATGCTGAGGTCAAACTCTAGCTACTCTCAGTTGTTGAGCTTCAGACGTGTGGCGTAGTGTATGTAAATGGGTCCAAAGCCTCGAAAAAGCGCGCTAGTGTCATGAAGCAATCGCTACAAACCCAAAACCAGAAGTTGCAAAGCTTGCTCAGCAGGTGCCAGACGGCGTGGCTTGGAAGAAGTGGGCACATGTCAGGAGTGTTTCCTTGTCTATGCAGGTTTCCGAAATCGCAAAAGGTTGAAGGTCATCTTGCTGGGGCTGTAGATTCAGTTTCTACATACTACTCCGGACAACCGTCCCAAGTCTACGTCGTTGAAATCTCCGAGCAGATTCTTTCAGACTCTAAGATCAGAGACACCGCTGTGCCTGTAGAGTATGCCAGTAGCAACACCAAATTTCTCAAACCCACGCCCCGGAAAGCAAAATAGGCCCTACAGGTCATCAGGGTTCTGACTGGAGTTTTATGCGACACTTGAGATCATCCGTCGAAACCTCTATGATTGTCATTGCTGCTTCTGCTGCGGTTCAACATATGCGTGAACATTACTGGGCTGTTGCTGATGAGGATGACAATGACACTGTTGACGGTGATTCCGAGGATGCTGGCCATAACACTGATGTTGATGACCATGATGACGTTGATGGTTGAGCTGGCGATGGTCGATGACAGTTGAAGCCGATGTTTGATAATTCTGATGCCGACTACTACCAGTTCTAATCATGATGATCACTTCGTGATGCTGGTGACGGCGAAGATGCTGAGGGCGGTGGTGGTCGTGGCGACCCTGGCACAGTTGTGAGTTTGGCCGTGCCTAGCCAAGGCACAGCTGCCCCGTCAAACCTGGCAGCCGGGTGAAACCCTGAAGGAAAGGGCTTGTGGTTTCGGGGGTTTTAGGCATGTTTCGGATTCGGTCTGTCGCATTTGCACGGCGTGCCGTGCAATACTTAGCGTTCAGGGCGAAATGCAGCAAGCTTTCGAAGTATGCAAGAGCAGAAAACGAAAGGTGCACATAGTCCCAAGTAAAGTTGGGGCTTACAGTACACGTTTGAAGATTTGGGTTCGGTGCATCGGTTTATGAAGACCCTGGCTGAGAGGTTTGTGGGAGCTTTTAAGTTCTAGGTTCGTTCCTCGCAGACATTCAGAAAACAACACCTGAACAAGTACATTGCGTGCTTTGCTGGGCTGAGCAAGGGCGCTCATCATTGCAGGATTCGACTTTCGACCGGCACATGCAACCAAAAGGTTGAAGCAGAGTAGAACTGTAATTTCGATATTGTACAGGATACAGGATTGTAGTCTCTTTTGGAAGAGGGCCTGTGACGGGCTGTGTACAAATGCTGCGGGCCTGGTCTTGTCGGGCAGCTTATGGCATAATCCAACAACGCGAGTTGTAGGTACTGCGTTGTGCAATGCAGGATGTCAGGCAGTCTGCAACGAGGATCGCAGAGAATTGGTTGGTTTGGAGCTGCAGAAACCCAGAGACTCCAATAAATTATAGTAGGATCCTTAATATGGTTTTAGGTATATTCCTTAATTAAAAGATACTGGAGTCTCTGGGAACAGGGGTCACTGCCCGCAGCCGCAGCTTGTCCATGGTAACCCCAAACCCGAAGCCCTTCCGTCTTGGGGCGACTTCGGGCTGCCAGAGGGTTCCAACATTCCGGGCCTAGTGCTAAACCCTAAACCCTAACCCTAAACCCTAAACCCTAAACCCCTAAACCAGAAACCCTCAACCCTAAACCCTAGTAGAGCTCTTCAGCTGGAAGGTCTGAGTGTTGCTGGGTGCTGTCCGGCTCGGGATCCAGGGTTGGTTCGTCTTCTTGAAAAGAGAGCTAGGGTTCCGTTCAGGGTTATCATGACTCACAGGGTTTAGGGTTTAGGGTTTAGTGGAAAGCCTGTTGCAAAAGGGTTTAGGGGAGGATTCCTTTCAAGGCTCATTGCAGTTCCGGAGTCGGAGGAAAACCTGATCTGCTGAAGCGGTTTAGGGTTTAGGGTTTAGGGTTTAGGGTTTAGGATAGGGAGAGACCAGTCCTTCGCAGCATGCGGCCCTGCCAGACCTACAGATCGGGGACAGTGGATCCAGTGGCGGTGGTCCAAGGAGACATTCGGTACATTGTTTATCTTAGGGTCTTGGTGAGTTTACGCAGGGCTCCTCACGAATGTTGGGAAGTTTGCATTTCGGTTGTTATTGTTGGTGATCATGAACGAGAATCCTACCACGATGACGTAGGGTCCTTTGCTGTCTCCGCAGAGCTCCTTCGGATGCTCAACTTGCACCCGGCCATGGGTAAGCTTGGATTGAGTGTTTTGCCGCTGTGCGCGCAGGAGGCACTCTTCAGCTTCCTCCCCATCGAGAAGGCCGCGAATGGGTCAATGGGGTTTAGCGGGTGTTGTCTTTCGGCAGGGTTTGGGTTTAGTGTGTCAGTTGCCGAAGAGCAACGGTATATAGCGCGTGTGTTCTGTGCATGCCCGAGGTTTTTGCAGGAAACTGTTTGTCAGGCGGTTGCGCTAGCGCGTGTTTCCAATCACAGGCTCCACCGTTACTGTACAGCGTACACAGACATGGCGATGCAATTGAACGTCCGCTGTACAGTTAGATTCAAGCTGGTCATCTCTGGGAAGTCTTCTTGCTTACGCCTGGGGCCCCCTACGAAGATCATAGGCTGCATGATCCCTGAATTGTGGGTTCCTGTGTCAGCTTGCCGTCCGGGGCCCGAGTATTGGCCATGACTAAAATCCACACCAGCAGAATTGATACCAGATCCTGCGCTAGAGAACCGTACTACGATTTTTCGCATGTTTACTGTAGACATTTGTACATGGCATATCATCTATCTGTATGTAGGTGTATATGTTTATATATATATATATGTGTGTGTACACATGTATGTTCATTGCGCTGTTGCCAAATGTTTTTGAATGTAGTTACATACTAATATATCAACAGGTGTATATTAATAGGTATATACATATACACACATGCGTTCATCTATTTGCTCGTTTTCTTACCCCCAGTACACTACACTCACACACAATATATATATATATATATATGTATATATGTATATATACATACAGACATACATACATACATACATACATACATACATACATACATAAGTTCAGACAGCGAGAATACTGCAAGATACTGGAAGATGCTTCCAGAAAGTACATGCACACATACATATTTACGCACGTAATACACGCAGGCACACATGCTCGCCCACGTCGAACTGAACATAGAGAGACGTGCACAGATGAATGCATACACGGAGTGACTACACAGTTCTACTCGCTGTTGTTCTACAACTCAGCTCGGATGTTGCTCCCAATCGCATCTGCCAGCACTTGCCGGTTCTGTGCTGGCGGCGCCTGGTGGCGGCGCAGGCGATGCCGGGCAAGACAGGGTCATACTCTGTGTATCCCTACCTCACTGGGTTGTCTTGTGGGATCTTTTTTAATTTCCCTTATTATTTTGTAGAGAACCATAATAGTAAATAATTTTCAAAGGGCCTAAAGGACAACTTAGCTCAATGGTCGGCAAAAAGATGAGTAATTAGAGTGTCCAAGGCCCTACACCTTGAACGGTAGGACAAAATCAGCTTTTATCAGGACAACCAATATTAATTACTGCGTAGCTTGTTATTTCTTGTTTCCTGACGGAAGAACAATCCGTCTTAAGCTGTCCGGAGACTTGGGAACTGGAGGATTTGACTTCGGTTCGGCTGGAAGTCTTGCATCTTCTGTGTCAGACTGGCTTTTGTGTGTTTGTTTTCCGGCTTGGACCAACCATAAGTTCATGGGTTCGCAGCCTCACCCAGCCAAAGGCAGCAGCAAAATCAATCGCCATTCAGGAAGATGCGAGCTCCATGCTCGGCCATCCGACAGAACTGACGTCAGACCTCTCCACGTGAATCAGGAAGATTGGACAAGTGCAGTCCCCAGATAGCTCAAAAACTGCCGACGTTAGAGGCTTTAACGGCCCGGCCTCCCGGTTATCTCCTCATGTACCAAATCCTGAGAAGAGATAGCCCAATCTGCAAACTGACACGACATGCAACTCGTTCTCTTCTGACATTGCAATGTACACACGCAGACACACGCTCGCGCTTTTTCTCTGCATGTCGCATGGAACTTGATCGTCGTGCGGTATCTCCACCTGGAGCGATGACTCGATGATGCCGGTTTGTCGCTGTTATTTGCTGACTACGTGCCGATACAACGCAGGAAATACTATCAGTAGATTGGATGGCATCGCGAGACAATCAAACTCCGCATGTCTGTTTCAGTTGCAGGCCAGTACGTGGCATCCGGCACGGTGCCAGGTGCAGGTGCGCTCTAAACACTACCAGAAAGCATAAACAAAACTCAGCAATGATGGCTACGTGGCTGGAGCGAAAGCATCCCACTGCTAGCCTCAAATGCATTGGCGGAGGACACTGAATGCAGACATCGTATTATATTTCGTGTGCTCTCGAGCTATCCGACCACAGTCTTTTGGAAGCCACGGCTTTGTATGCTGTTGCAACCATCTACTGTCGGAAGCTATGTCTACAAGCTCTCCGCACAACACAGGGTGTGTGATGGATTCCCCCAGAAGTAACCTTACAAGTCCTTATGCTCTGATCCTTGAGCTGGCCTGTCCTCTTGCCACGTTTTGCAGTGCGTTGCAGGCCTAAACCCTTGTGACACAGAGACCTCGTCTGGCGAAGTCCGAGTTGCGAGAGTGTAAACTCCAAACCCTACTGTACGGGCGTCTAGGGTAGAAATCAACCTGTCAGCACGTAGGGAGCTAGACGGATCAGTCCATGCCTGTCAACCGCCACCGCTTGATTCGAGGCGTGGCCGTTCACGGGTCCATGATGCTACCGCGAGGAGAGGGAAGGGTGAGTGGAGCGAGTGGGGTAGGGTTTTCGGCCAAATCTTGGTTTGGCCACAAAACAAGAAATTTTAGCCAGTGCAGTGCAGCCTAGTTCGCCCGATTCCAACGACATGCGCTACACAATGACGACGACGAGCCCTCCACCATGGCGGCAGCAGTGCAGCAGCATTCAAGCGCAAGAGTCACAGCAACTGTCAGGCTAGTGGAAGCGTCGTAGGTTCACTGCTAGTTAGCTGTAACTCTTAGATGTGTCGCGGCGCCAACGTTATCTGATACAAGTAGTTTGTATCATCATCTTCTTCGCCATCACGGTCTAAGTGTGCCCCGTTGTTGCTCGCTTATCCTCAACTTCCTAACTATCATGACCACAGTCGCAGGTTGGAGACTGCGAGAACGCGCATCCTAAGCCCTATAAGCCTTAATCGGACGGCTTTCAGGACCGGCCGCCATTCCGCTCTTTCCTGGAGGTGGTCGTCCGAGCGTTTTTGTTGAGGTTGAAAGTTTGGAGTTTAGGACCTGTATGCAATCAAGAAGACTCAAGCCCAAAGCTCTGACTCCTCGGACCTGAAGCAATGTTCCCTAACAAGACCACAGGCAAGACTGCAGACAGAAGACCTGGGAAGCCCAGCAAGTTTTTTTTTGCCTGCAAGAGGCCCCTGATGAAGCCCTGCAAAGAGCTTTCATAAAGCCCTATGACAAACGGCGCCCTAAAAACACCACTGGCCAGCTGAGGCAAAGACTTGCTTTTCTAGCTCGTGCCGGCAGTTTCCCACAGTACTGGTCTTCTCCGAAGATAAGCTTTCAGACTGCCGAATCCAGGCAACATCGCTTGGAGTCTGGAGTGTTTGAGTTGCGACAATCGACATCCTGGGCCCTAAGCCCTGAGTCCTCACTTCCACCTCCTGAACCCTGTGCAGCTGCGATATCGACAGCTCTGACCGCACGTTTCCAGGTCCGCGCACGAACTCACCACGGAGGGATCGGTCGAAGGAGTCCACAGGCTTCTTTGGGCACGCTGACACGTTGTCTCTGTTGTGCTAGGGTTGCGAGGTTCGACCCTTAAAGTGCTTTTAGGACTGTAGAGAGCAACATTACAAAAGCGGAAACAGTATAAGTCAACGGACACAGAGGAGACACGTATTGTTTGGGCAGCTGTGGTTTTTATTGTCTACTCTCAGCATCAGCCTTGCCTTCGAGTTTTGTTGTGCTGAGAGAGACATGGGAGCATGCAACGATGCTCCAGAGCCCCAAAACTGTTGTTGCTAATGACTCTGTACAATGCATGATGTCTATGTACATCTTTCAGACTAGACGTGTGGGCTGTATGTGTATTACCATGTGTGTAAACCTGTGTGTATGTATAGCCTAACACAGCAATCTAGTCGCACACCTTACCCGTTAACTCTGACGAGTTAAGTCCAAGCCCCAGTAGCCCAAGACCATCCTAGACCTTTCGACCTTCGACACAGCCTGTCGTAAGAAGCGGATGTGAGTGGGCCAGGGAATCGGTAGCCTTGCAGGGGTTGGTCTTGAGATGGGGGTTGCAACTCACAGCTTCAATGTCGACACTGAACGGAGTTCGTGTAGGGGCGAGGGTGTTGGAGTGTATACCCAGACCCTGTGCTGTACAAGCTACTCGGAAATTATGGGTAGGACCGTACAATCAACAAGGCATGGAAAAGGGGTACAATCCTGGGTCTAGGCAATGCTCAAGGTATAGGACTTTGCCACCCCTAAACCCTGAACCCTGTAGTAGCTGATGAAACCGGTATCAACCCCTTAGCGGAACCCTTAAGCTCCCGCGGGCAAGGGGGCGTGGTGCGGTCCCTGACGCCCTTGGCACGTTTCAAAGAGCAAGGCGGGCTTGTGGGTTACAGTAGGGTTTATGGTTTGGGAATTTTAGGGTTCAGAGTGCGTTTTGGCATTTGGGATTGTCTAATGACCCCGGGCTTTACAATTTAGTGCTGACATACAACCCCATTTAGGGTTTTTTTTTCCCCGATGGGGAACCCAGAGACTCCATTATTCCTTAATTAAGGAATATTCCTTAAATTATAGTAGGATCCTTAATATGATTTAAGGAATATTCCTTAACTAAGGAATATTGGAGTCTCGGGGTTATGTGTACCCAGGATGTTTGGGATCGCAGCTTGAGCCTCAAGGGGATTCGAATCCGAGTGTAAGAAATGGGGGCGGGGGGGGGGGGGGGGG